CTCGCCCGTCCGCCGTTGCCCGTGTAGCTGGGGCTCGAGTCGCGCTGCACATGCTCTGAGCTACTTGTTTGTATCGTTTACTGAGACGGGGTTTTCCCATAGGTCGCCAGGCTGGTCTTGGAACTGCTGACCTCAGGTGATGGGCTTCCCCGCTCAGCTTCCCAAAGTGTGAATTACCAAGCGTGGCCACTGTGGGCCGGCCTTCAGATAAGTTTTAAAGTCGGAGCCGCCATGGGTTTTTATGCCCTATCTGTGTTGGGTGGATCCTCTCCTCTTGAGGTCCCCAAGATAAATCAGGCTTTCTAGCTGTTAGGGAAAGTGACATTTCTTTTTTTTTTTTTTTTTTTTTTTGAGACGGAGTCTCGCTCTGCCGCCAGGCTGGAGTGCAGTGGCCAAGCTTTCAGCCTACGCAGCTCGCCCGGGTTCGCGCGCCCTTCTCGGTGCTTCAGGCTCCTGAGTGGCGTGGGACTTACAGGCGCCGGCCACCGCGCGGTAGTTGGGGGGGTTTTTTGTAGAGCGGGTTTCACTGTGTAGCCAGGAACGCGCCCGGTAGGTTTTTTTTCTCGTGTATTTTTTAGTAGAGCGGGTTTCACTGTTTAGCCCAGGATGGTCTCGCGACTCTGACGGCGTCGGTGATGGCCGCCGTTCTCGGCCTCCCAAAGTGCTGGGATTACAGGCTTGAGCCACCGCGCCCGGCCAGAAAGTGACATTCTTTACTAACCACAGGTTAGGAACCCTGTGTGGGGACTGTGTAGGCAAGGTATGAGGCCAGTTTTCCCCAACGGGCTTTTATTGGCTTTACATGTCAAGCTTGATTCCTTAAAGGGAAACACACCCTTTCAGTCAAATTCCTGGTAAAATAACAAGTTTTTCCAATTTTGTCCTGTTGACAAAGAAAAATGGATTCTTATTGCACTGAGGTAAACAACTATATTGCCATAAGTTAAGACTTCTCACAGATAGTTTTCAAATTCTAGAGGAACCAGGCAGAGAAAAATAAACATGCTCCAAATTTTCTTCACATGAGTATAACTTACTCAATTATTAAAGGCCATAAATAGTTTAAAATAACTTTCCTTGACTCTGAAAATCAAAACAAAGATCAGCAATATTCCAAGCAAGTTAAAAAGATTGCTTTAACTTTCTGAGTGTAGCCACTTAGTTAACTTTGATTTTGCTTGATAATTGTCAACATGTCAGTTCTTTATGAGTCCCTACGTTCTTTATTTCAATGTTACAATTTTTAAAGCTATTTAAAAAGTGCATTTGAGAACACCTGTTAAAATCCTTTATATAGCTTGATTATAAACCATCTTGTGAGAAGGAACAAAGTAAGACAACAATTGTCTGTGAATGACAAATTTCTATTTGTGAAAGACAAATTGTCTGTGAATGACAAATTTAACCATTTTTATGGTTAAAAATATGACTGAGAGTTTATTTATCTTCATGGTTTACAATAACTTTACCTTTAATTATGATTGATAGCATATACTTAGACATTAGAATTTTAGAAATCCCATACAATTTTGTAACATATATTAGTATTATTCATCAAAATATAACTTAAAGAAGATTGGATATCATTTTGGCAATCTCATGTGACTAAACATATCAAATGATCCTATTTACCTCTTTTCTAAATGTTTTGGAGTCCTCTGAACCAGCCAAAAAGCCAGGCATCAGGAAGGACAATTTCCAGATTGCCATAAATTATTTTGCCAAAATGATGACTCAAAAGGCAAAAACCTTTCATTAGCCTATACTATGACATGAAAATTTTGTTCAAAGCAAAATTTTACCCTTGCATTAGTTTATTAATGTTAACCCCAATTCATTTACAAGAAACCTTACAGATTATTCCATTTAATCCTAACCAATTTGACCATGAGGTGAAAACTTTATAAACCTTTTATAACCCTTTTACTAAAGGGCAGATTAGCATCTTAAGACCTCCTTGCTATGCTTTTATTTTAATGCTTAACTTATGTAACAAACATATAGATGCTATGAGAGAAGACAGTGTAGTGCTTCTACTACACATTTCACTGCAAAGCAACCCAAAGCCACTTGGCTTATTTTATAATCAGTCCATCCCTGATGCGAGTCTCATCTCCCACTGTAGGGTGGGGATGGGGAAACCCCGTTTCTACAAAAAATATATATATACAAAAATTAGGCGGGCGTGGTGGCATGCACCTCTAGTCCCAGCTACTAGGAAGGGAGATGGGAGGTTCACCTGAACCCAAAAGGTCTAGGCTGCAGTGAGCTGAGATCATGCCATTGTAGTCCAGCCTGGGTGACAGAGTGAGACTCTGTCTCGAAAACATACAAATAAAAAAATTACAAATCATGAATTCATATTGATAACTAATTTTGAAAAATTCACCTAATGAAAGTAGGGCTCCTAGAGGAGGTAAGATTTGGTTGTCTCCTGGTCAGCTTGGAGAGAGGAGTTTGTGGAAGTAAAAGGCGAGGAATGATCACCTACAGAAAACTGACTTCACAGCAACACAAACAAAGAAAAGATGCAGGATGTCATAATTTGTCTTGGTCCTGCCACATATGTGACCTTATGTAAATTACTTTTTTCTCTTTGAGTCTCAGATTTCCCCTTCGTAAAGGTGAAATCCCAGTTCCTCTTTTACATCCCTCTGATGTTACTGTGAGCATCAAAGGAGATGATGACTACCATTTGTGGTACTATTAAGAGGATATACACACATACTGATATAGATCCCTGCATGGATACACAAAAAACTGGTAACAGTTACTGCCTAAAGTATGTTGTTAAGAATCAGTGAAAGACTTTTCACTACATATAAAAGGATTTATATTGTTTGAATATTTTTTTCTTTAGAGTCAGATTCTTGCTCTGCCGCCCAGGCTGGAGTGCTGTGGCTAATCATGGGTCACTGCAGTCTCGAAGTCCGGGCCTCAAGTATCTTCCCACCTCATCGTCCCCTAGCTAGGACTACAGGCATGGGCTACCACGCCTGGATCATTTTTTTCTTTTTTTTAGGAACAAGGGTCTTGCTATGTTGCCAAGGTTGGTATGAATCTCCTGAGCTCAAGCAATCCTCCTGCCTCTGCCTCCCAAAGTGCTGGGATTACAGGCGTGAGCCACCGTGCCTGGCCTGAATATCTTTCTTGAGGATGAAAAAAAAAAAAAAGCAAGTAGGTAATGCATTTGAAAGTGCTTTGTAAATCACAAAATATGACACAAATATTAGGATGTTATTGTTACTATTATCCACCAGCAACAAGATATCAAACACTGGTTCTGTGATTATTTAATGATGAAAAAGTTGAATAAATTTAGTATACCCATATGTTGGAATATTGAGTTCATTTTGCTTTTAAAAATCATACTTTGGAATAATTGATATTGGCAAATGCTCAAGCTGAATGGAAAATATATAAACATTGTATACGTGAATAATTCCAATCTGGTGCATTTCGTGTGTAAACCTACATACACAAAAAGAAAAAAGACTGAAAGGAATCATCCACAACGCTTTGAGGGGGAAGATGGAGAAACAAAGTGTCAATTTTCTTAACTGTACTTTTCGTGTATTCCAGATTTTCTACAACGAGTTAATAAATGCCACTAAGAAAAGGGGATATATCACAGCTACACCTTCAAACGTCAGAAAAAGAACTTTTTTTTTTTCTTAGGTAGGGGTATGATTTTGATCTGGGCACTAACGGGGACACTGATTTCGCTGGTGAGTCAAGACCAGCAGATAAAAAATAATTTTTAAAAACCTCGTGAGAGTGATTTGCCGCAAGAAGGGAGGAGGAAGAAACAGGCGTGGGAAGTGCTAAAGGAGGAACCTAAACCTCCATCCTCTTCCCCCGGGAGGTTAAGAACTACAGGGAGAGGCGAGAGAGACTATGACCGCCCTACGCCTAGAGCGGCCGCGAAGAGAACACTTCCGGGGCGGGGCTATCTGGCTCTTTCCCTTCCGCGTGGAGAATGTGGGCCGCCTGTAAAGTTAAGGTTCACGATTACTTGGCCACCACTTCCATCACTCTGAGACGGTGCCTGAGATTGGGGGCTACCATGGCAAAAAGCAAGTTCGAGTACGTGAGAGACTTCGAGGCTGACGACACCTGCCTGGCCCACTGCTGGGTGGTAGTGCGGCTGGACGGCAGAAATTTCCATCGGTGAGCGAGCTCGGCCCGGGGCGTCGCGGTGCGCCAGCGCTTCTGGGAAATCCGGCTTCTACCCTTCCAAATCGTCCCGGCCGCCCCAGTCACGGTTACCGGGGTAACGCGGTAGCCAATGAGTGCGCAGCATGGAGCATCGCCCCTCCCTGCGTGTTGGCTAGGACAGTGCTTGAACGCTGGCTGTTAGCGGAATTGAATGGGCGACGTGCTCCCCTGATGAGGATCCGGCTTGGAGTGCCCGTGTTAAGTGAACAGAGACCTGTTAGCAAGGACATGTTGTTAAAAGTCACTCTCATGCACAGTATTTAAGCTCTTAAGCCAATCGCCTAGCTTTCTGTTAGATATCTTTGAATGCTGACTGTTCAGAAGTCTGTGTAAGCCTTGCTTGTGGGCAATACTTATGTCTGTGCTTCATTATCAGTAACAGGCCACATGGATTATTTTCAACAGAGAGTCAGAAAAAAAGAGAAGGCTGGGCGCGGAAGGCAGGAGGATCACTAAAGGCCAGGAGTTGGAGACCAGGTTTTTGTTGTTGTTGTTGTTTCTGAAACTCTGCCACTACAAAAACAAAGAGAGAGAGAGAGAGAAGGAAAAGCAAGAGAGAAAGAAAGAAAAAGAAAAAAATTTAATTTGCCAGGCGCAGTGGTGCACACCTATAGTCCCAGCTACTGGGGAGGCTGAGGTGGGAGGATCGCTTGAGCCTGGGAGGTCAAGGCTGCAGTGAGCGGTGATCGGACCATTGAACTCCAGCTTGGGTGACAGAGCAAGACCCTGTCTCAGAAAAAGAGGGAGGGGGAGAAAGAAATACAAAGATGGGAATTTAATTTTTAAAAAGGGCTGCATTATTAATGATCATTATAACTAACATTTATTGAGCACTTACTAGGAGCTAGGTATGATTGCTTTTATCTTCCCCCTAATCTTCAGGACAACCCAATGAGGTAAATATTCTTTTATTCCCATTTCACAGAAAGGAGAGTTGAGGCTTAGCATTTATGTCTGTTTTTCTCAATTTCAGGGCAGGAAAAACACTAAGTTCTTAGGGAAATGGGTCAAGTTGTGGCTAGTTGAGCATTTGGGTTCACAGTGCTGTTACATTATCTTCCTCCAAACAGCCTCTGTTATCTAGCAACAGAGCTTGTTGTTAATGACAGGCTTCCATCCATGCTTTCTTCCCTTTTCTCTTCCCCCTACGAAGGTTTGCTGAGAAGCACAACTTTGCAAAACCTAATGACCGCCGTGCTCTCCACCTGATGACCAAATGTGCCCAGACTGTGATGGAAGAACTAGAGGATATTGTGATTGCATATGGACAGAGTGATGAGTACAGCTTTGTGTTCAAGCGGAAAACCAATTGGTTTAAAAGAAGAGCCAGGTAATTCCAGTACCTTCCTCCTTTCTTCAGAATATTTCCTACCAGCATTTGGTTTTGTTTATCTTAATTGCAGACTTACAGGCTACAGATAATGTCTGCAGTATTTGTAACTGCAGAGTGCATATATATTTCCTGTTTAGATTGTTGTACTTCCATCTGATAGCCGAGCATTCTGTGTGCCTCTTTATCTGATTCTTCCCCCTCATGCCCCATAAGACTAGTTTCTAGACTGACCTGGCATTGAACATTAAGATTAGAAACAGAGACCATAAGAACGTAATATTCACAATTCATAGGTTGGCTTTAGCCAGTGATAGTCTCTACATGCATTGCATTACACTGTTCCTTAAGGGGGATCTCATTATAAAATAGACAAATCTGATATTTGATTTGGCAGTATTTTGAAACGCTGTATGGGAAATAAATCATACAATGAATTGGTTTTTTCTTTCTTTTTTTAATAGAGGTGGGGTCTCTCTGTGTTGCCCAGGCTGGTCTCAAACTCCTGGCCTCAAGCAATTCTCCTGCCTTGGCCTCTCGAAGTGCTGAGATTACAGACGTGAGCCACCATGCCCAGCCTGAATTGGCATTTTTTTTTACAACAATGGTTTCCTTCCTTCCGTGACTGTAAACACAAACAGGTCAGGCATGGTAGCTCGCGCCTGTAATCCGAACACTTTGAGCGGGCGAGGGAGAGGATTACTTGAGCCCAGAAGGTTGAAACCAGCCTGGGCAAGATGGTGAGACCTCATCTCTACAAAAAATTTAAAAATTAGCCAGGCTCAGTGGCATGTGCTTATATTCCCAGCTACTCAAGAGGTTGAGGCAGAAGGATCCCTTGAGCCAAGGAATTTGAGGCAGCAGTGTGCTATGATTGTGCCAATGCACCCCAGCCTGGGGGACGGAGAGATTCCATCTTCTAAAAAATAAAATAAAATAAAAAGATACCCCTTGAATCATAAATTCATATCACATCCTATAGGGAAAAATTTAGTATCAGTAGATTACTTAATAGAACTGGAAGGAGAGGCAGGCTGCATTTAAAATATGTAACTGGCGGGTGTGATGACTCACACCTGTAATCCCAGCACTTTGGGAGGCCGAGGCGGGCAGATGACTTGAGGTCAGAAGTTTGAGACCAGCTTGGCCAACATGGTGAAACCCCATCCCTACTAAAAATACAAAAATTAGCTGGGCGTAGAGGCCTGCGCCTGTAATCCCAGCTACTTGGGAGTCTGAGGCAGTAGAATCACTTGAACCCAGGAGGCGGAGGTTGTAGTGAGCCAAGATGGCACCATTGCACTCCAGCCTAGGCAATAGAGCAAGACTCTGTTCCAAAAAAAGAAAAAAAAAAAAATACAGAACCAAGGTATTAAAATGGTGTTTCTTAGCCAAATGCATTTTATCTCCTGGCTTTCTGGGCAGTTTGTTATCTCTCTGTGGTACCCACAGGTCTTATCAGGGTGTTGAATTAATTCCATGTATCTTTCTTTTTCTTGCTCCACCCAATGTGCGTTACATTTTCAAGTAAGTTCATGACTCATGTGGCCTCCCAGTTCGCCTCCAGCTATGTGTTTTATTGGCGGGATTACTTTGAGGACCAGCCCCTTCTGTATCCCCCAGGCTTTGATGGAAGAGTCGTGGTGTATCCCAGCAACCAGACCTTAAAGGACTACCTCAGCTGGCGACAAGCAGATTGTGAGTGGCACCAAATAAACACGTGTAGTTAAACTACCAATTCCATGCCTTACAGGTGTTGATCTGATACAGGATTGGCTCACATATACTTTGTTTTGACATATACTCTGTATAGAATGCAGTATGTATGTTTTCAATTAGTTAAAAGTATTTGAAAAATTAAATTTTATGTAAAAACTCCTTATCTCTCATTTTTTTAAAGACAGAGTTTCGCTCTTGTTGCCCAGGCTGGAGTGCAGTGGTGCGATCTCGGCTCACTGCATCCTCCACCTCCTGGGTTCATGAGATTCTTCTGCCTCAGCCTCCTGAGTAGCTGGGATTACAGGCATGTGCCACCATGCCCTGCTAATTTTGTATTTTTTAGTAGAAAGGGGGTTTCTCCATGTTGGTCGGGTTGGTCTTGAACTCCTGACCTCAGGTGATCCACCCACCTTGGCCTCCCAAAGTGCTGGGATTATAGGCACGAGCCACCACACCCGGCCGCCTTACCTCTATTTTTTAAAAAGATCAGATGTGGCAATACTGGATCTGCATTCTTAGTACTGGACAGAGCCTGTGCAGTGGCAGCTACCTTTACACACACACACATGCACACGCACACACACACAAATGCTAGTGTGCCATAGTCTCTGCCATTCCCTGTTTTTCCTCTGGGGTCACCCACTGCTTTACACATTTATGTTCATGCCAGCCTCAGTGGGTATTTGAGTTGTGACCCTTGCTTTATGTGACTGTGATGATGTTTGTGAGACTTTCACTTGCTTGTTCTAGTTTGATTTTTCCAGAAGAACTGGAAAAGAGATTGGAATAATATAAATCAAGTAACTTCTAAAGTATTCCTAGGATTAACACACAAGTTAACAGATTTGTATAATGTATAACTAAAATGACCGAATAAAACTGTTGTTAAGGAGGAAGTTTTTTTCCTCCTGCTCCTTCCCTCCATGTTCCCTGTGTAGGACTTCAGGCAAGTCAGTAAATGTCTCAGATCTCTTTACTTTGAAAGAGGAGAGGGTCAGGGCTCTAGTATGCCTTGAAGAATGAATATTGAATAAAGATTTTATGTATATAAACGTTACTATTTTGTTCTCCTCACAGGTCACATCAATAATCTTTATAATACAGTTTTCTGGGCACTTATACAACAATCTGGACTAACACCAGTACAAGCCCAAGGGAGATTACAGGTATAAAGATCTTACTACATTAATACTTAACTGGAGACGGTTCGCTGTAGGTTCTCCCATAACTTTTTTTATATTAACTTTACGTTTTTTCTTTTTTTTTTAAGATCCCTTTACAGCTTTGTTTTGAAAGGATGTAAAAATCATAATAGGAGCAGTTCTGCTGCCTGCTTGATCTGTAATCCTAGATGAATTACTGCTTCTCCCTGAGCCTTCGTGTTCTTGGTGGAAATGGAATTGACGACACTGGCTCTGCATTCCCACGTGCTAACACTTGCCTGGAGCCGTTTATGACTGTATGACTGCGTGACTGCCGTCTACAGTACCGACCTTTTTTTTTTTTTTTTTTTTTTTGAGACACAGATTCACTCTGTTGCCCAGGCTGGAGTACAGTGGTGTGATTTCTGCAACCTCTGCGTCCTGTGCTCAAACGATTCTCTTGCCTCAGCCTCCTGAGTAGCTGGGATTAGAGGTGCACGCCACCATAGCCAGCTAATTTTTGTATTTTTAGTAGAGACGGGGTTTCACCATGTTGGCCAGGCTGGTCTCGAACTCCTGACCTCAAGTGATCTGCCTGCCTGGGCCTCCCAGAGTTCTGGGATTACAGGCGTGAACCACCACACCCGGCCAGCACTGACTTTTTGTTAGTCCCACCAGGCCTCTTCCCTCATTGCAGTTTTCCCTGCTGGGCACCTGTAGTTTCTTGGGTTTATGACATCTGTGTATGGGAAGAGTTCGTGCTGAGTTTGTTACTTTCATAAATGTCATGACAACTACACACATCATGGTTCTGTGTAATTTTATCCTTTCTGCCTCAGTTCTTTATAGGTAAAATGTAGAAAATTGTAGTTTCTACCTCATAGGTTTATGGTGAGAATTAAATGGCATGATGCATGTAAAACAGGATATTATGAAGCACCTTGTAAGTGCTTAATAAATACTGGTTTTTGTTATAACAGTGCTACTTGTAGGATGACTGTGAAATGAGGTAATGTGTTGTAATATCTTTTACATGTATTTTATTGTATCTATTCATTTATTTTTTGAGATGGGTTCTTGCTATTTGCCCCAGGCTCGTCTTGAACTCCTGGGCTCCAACAGTCCTCCCACCTCAGCTTCCCAAGTAGCTGGGATTACAGGTGCACGCCACTGTGCCCAGCTCTAACAGTTACTAATACAATGCCTGGTACATTATGATTGCTCAGTAAATGGTTGTCATTTTTAATAATAGTAATGATAGAGATTTGTATATAGCAATAATAGGAATACTGGGGCCTGGCGTGGTGGTTCACACCTGTAATCCCAGCACTTTGAGGAGGCCAAGGTGGGCGGATCACCTGATGTCAGGAGTTCGAGACCAGCCTGGCCAACATGGTGAGACTGCTTCTCTACAAAAATTAGCCGGGTGTGGTGGCACACGCCTGTAATCCAGCGACTCAGGAGGCTGAGGCACGAGAATCGCTTGAACCTGGGAGGTGGAGGTTGCAGTGAGCTGAGATTGTGCCACTGCTCTCCAGTCTGGGCAACAGAGTGAGACTTTGTCTCAAAAAAAAGGCATACTGGTAGGTATATCCAGTTTTGGAAGAGTTAAGTTCAGATTTTGATTCTTTGTAGAAGAATAAGGACAACCTTTTAACTTTGGGCAATTTATATAACCTTTCTAAGTTTTACTGGACCGAATACATAATATGTACTCAGTTAGTATCACTTCCCCCTACTCCCTTTCAGTCTTGACTTGTGAAGCCAGTGTTTGGTATAGGAGAGAATTTTATCTAAATAAGATCATAATTGCCCTTAAGATGAAAATTCACTAGTAACTATAAGATGTTTGATAAACTCCTTCCACTTCTTGATTGTGGAAGTTTAGGTTGTGGGTCTAATGGATAGTAGCATTAGGGGAGAAAGAGGACATGCAGAGCTTTTAATATCTATTTTTATTTCCTCAGGGAACTCTTGCAGCAGACAAGAATGAGATTTTGTTTTCTGAATTCAACATCAACTATAATAATGAGCCGCTGATGTATAGGAAAGGGACTGTGTTGATATGGCAGAAGGTAATGCTGTTATGTTCAAAGAAAAATGGAAGTCAGGAAAAAAGAGCCTGTGCCCATTCCAAGCTGTCCCCTCTTTGCTGCCTGTATGCTGATGTGACTCCAGTTGCTAACGCAAACCAGATCCTTTCCAAGAGGAGAGGCCATAGATTCTTATTTTTAATTACATTTTGTCAGTCAGTAGTGGTCCAAAATCTCCCATACATAAGTAGAATTACAGAACTTTAGAATTAGTGCCTTTATTTTTCTGTGTTATAAGCTTTCCTTGTATCCAATAAAATCCTTTTAAAAGGATACAGTACAGGTATGAGGATTTGTACATTCATAAAATACTTAAAAAATACTTTCACACTGGATAATACCATTAAATGGTCTCTCCATCCCACGACAACTATAATATGAGGCACTAAGAGACGATGTATATGAGGGTTTGTTATTTCCATAAATGTCATGAGATTCCTTTGACATTCATACTTAATATTCTGTAATAAGTCTGTACATTTACCTATATCCTTAATTTTACCAATATTTTCTCTCTGTACCAGCTGTGAGGCATAATGATTTCTCTAAATTTATTTCCTTCCATGTGAAGTTTTTTTTTTTTTCTTTTTTTTTCCTGAAATGAATGTTTTCAAGTACCAAGGAGTACCTTGAGAGCTAGTCATTCCACTGGCAACTCCAGCTCTTTGAGTTTTTCAAAACATTTGTTCTTTGGTACAGACTTGGATACCTCTTAATGCAGGTGGAAGGTAAGAAACACCTTTAATTCTATAGTTATTGCTAATGAGGAACATGGAATCCTTTCTTTGTTCCTAAGATCGCTTCACTATAGTATTACTTTTTTTTTTTTTTTTTTAGACAGAGTCTTGCTCTGTTGCTCAGGCCGGAGTACAGTGGTGCCATCTAGCTCACTACAACTTTTGCCTCCTGGGTTTAAATGATTTCTGGCTAATTTTTGTATTTTTAGTAGAGGCAAGGTTTCACCATGTTGGCCAGGCTCATCTTGATCTCCTGACCTCAAGTGATCTGCATGCCTCAGCCTCCCAAAGTGCTGAGATTACAGGCGTGAGCCACCATGCTCGGGTAACATAACCTTTTTAAAACTATTTTTAATTATAAAGAACTTCAAGCATACTGAGATTATATATATATGTATATATACACACATACATATATGCGCATATATATACACATATTTATATCTATATATATCTCAAATCTGGCAGTCAGAAGTATATGAAGATAAGAAGTTAACTATCCCCACATCTTTTCTCTCCCAAACCCACTCCTGAGTTAACAATGTCACTACTTTATTTTTACTTGTAGGTGGATGAAGTGATGACAAAAGAAATTAAGCTGCCAACAGAAATGGAAGGAAAAAAGATGGCAGTAACCCGGACCAGGACAAAGCCAGTGCCCTTGCACTGCGATATCATTGGGGATGCTTTCTGGAAGGAACATCCAGATATTCTAGATGAAGACAGCTGACCCTTTGCGCTTCAGTTCTGGTGTGCTTAACCATGCAAGCCCTCCCACCTCCCAGGGCTCCTCGCCTTAGGTGGCTGTATCCCTACCACCCAGAACACTGGTGTGAATTACACGGCTCGAGTTGGGAGGGGAACAGGGAAGGAAGGGATGGATGGGGGTGGTGTATCTTGTTCTGTTTAAGGAGAACACCTTGTTTGCAGTGTTGGAACATGGTTCCTTTGCCAGAAGTGCTTTTTTTTTTAATCGCAGTACTATTTTTATAAAGCAAGAACTATTTCATGCCTTGGAGAATGAATCATTTTTAGATTGTGACATAAATCTTGTAAAAACCTGTCAGTTCTTTTCACCTATGAGAGAAGAGGAGCCCAAACTCTCGCCCACCTGTTCTTAACCAGAAAACCCACTGACTGAAAATCTCACCTCTGCCACCCATCTACTTGCATTCATCTTTAGCAGGCCTCAAGATAAATATGGGTTAATGCCTGCATGATGCCTCTGAATTCAGGAATTGCAGGGAAGACTCGGGGCTTTGTGCCAATCGCCAAGTTGACAACTTTGGCTGAACAAATGAGTAGTGACTTCAGTGTCCTTGCGTACACATTCTGTGGACTGATTTAATGGAGTTGTCAGCATGATTATCATCTTCTAGCCAGGGGCATAGTTTCCAAGGCCATTTACCTCTTTCTAAGAAGAAACAAGTATGTGTATATATGAGAGAAACAAGAATGAGTGAATGAGGATGAAGAAACATTTACCCCATGTACTCAAGATATTTCAGTTTTAAAAGTCACTTTCCTATTAGACTTCCTGAAAAAGTTTCTCATGTAGCCTCTATGTAATCAGAAAAATGACATTTGATTTCAAGAGCAGAGGGGTAAACATGCTCCTGCTAATCAACAGGTAGCAGGTGTCAGGGGAGTCGTAATGTTAGTAGCGCCACCTTCTGTTGGGTCAGTGGAGATGGGTGAGGAGCAGCAGAGAGCAGCAAGGATCATCACATGCAGCCAAACTTGGCCTCTGAAGGGGGAAGGTAGTGGGAATAGGTGAGAGAACTCACATTTTTCTCTTGTCCTGGTTTTATATTTTGGAGGGAAAGGATTATTTGGCCCTATTGAGAATCAAGAGGCCGGGTGCGGTGGCTCATGTATGTAATCCCAGCAACTTGGGAGGCCCAAGCAGGCAGATCACCTGAGGTTGGGAGTTCGAGACTAGCCTGACCAATGGGGAGAAACCCCGTCTCTACTAAAAATACAAAAAATTACCTGGGCATGGTGGCGCATGCCTGCAATTCCAGTGACTCGGGAGGTTGAGGCAGGAGAATCATTTGAACCCAGGAGGCGGAAGTTGAGGTGAGCCAAGATTGTGCCGTTGCACTTCAGCCTGGGCAACAAGAGCGAAACTCCATCTCAAAAAAAAAAAAAAAAAAGAGACATGGCTGGAGCCGGTGACTCACACCTGTAATCCCAGCACTTAGGGAGGCTGAGGCGGGTAGATCACCACGTCCAACATGCCAAAACCCCGTCTGTACTAAAAATAGAAAAATTACCGGGCGTAGTGGCACGTGCCTGTAATACCAGCTACTCAGAAGGCTGGAGCAGGATAATTGCTTGAACCTGGTAGGTGGATTTTGCAGTGAGCTTGAGATCATGCCGCTGCACTCCAGCCTTGAGTGACAGAGCAAAACTATCTTAAAAAAAAAAAAAAAAAGTGAGCGACAACCCATGTCCCGTGCCTCGTCTTGCACTGCAGAATTTACATCTAAGAAGAAAACGTATTTTTCAAAGGGCGGTTGCTGGCCTCATCCCTCACTAATTACAACCCATCGTTTGATGCCATTTTTTCCTTCCTGTTCTCACTCCCCACAGAAAGAGGAGATATGGTTCTTGTTTGGTAATTGCTAAAATCTCTGAGGAAAGAAATAAAGATTCAACTCCTTTGGCTTGCTTTTTCATTTATTTTTCTTAGACAATAGGCTATATGATATCTAACTTGGTGTGTATATCTTCGGGTAGCCCAGGATACACATACCCTCATCATACCAGTGGTTCACAAACTTCTGGATGCAAAAAAAAAATTACTTGGAATGCTTGTTTAAAATGCACGTTTTTGGCTCGCTCCCAGCCCCCAGGAAGGTTTGAAGCTCAACAATCTGATTTTTTTTTTTTTTTTTTTTAATTTGGAATCTCGCTCTGTCAGTTCACTGCAACCTCTGCCTCTCGGGTTCAAGTGATTCTCCTGCCTTAGCTCCTGAGTAGCTGGACTAAGGCATGCACCACCACGCCTGGCTAATTTTTGTATTTTCAGTAGAGACGGGGTTTTCACCACATTTGCCAGGCTCGGTCTCGAATTCCTGCCTCGTGATCCGCCCGCCTCAGCCTCCCAAAGTGCTTGGATTACAGGCATGAACCACTGCACCCAGCCAGTAATCAATTTTTAGCCCCAAAGGCTTCTGATATGTATGGTTGTCAATATCAGCACCTTGGGCAGCAAGGCCCTCGGTATACTGTGATAGGCTGGGTGGGAAGTAAGATATGTAGCTCTTGATTGGCAATTTTAACTTAATGGTAAGTTGACAGCATTTATATCAAAATACAGAAAAGTAGGCATTAGAGTACAAATTTTCAAGAAACACCTAGAGAAACGTTGCTTTCTGTGGGTCTTAAATGACACTATAAGGGCTATCACTCAGTGTTGTTTATATGATGTGGGGATAAGCACTCATTTGTTGAATTGCAGCAGTTCTGCAGCTTCGAGCTTTTTATTCAGGCAGGGGGTTCTGAATAAAGTGATAAGCTGCGTTCAAAACCTGTGCCATAAAGAAACCTGTACTGCTACTAATTAGAAGCCACTGCTTGATTTTTTTTTTTCTTTTTTTTCTTTTTTTTTTGCGACGGAGTCTCGCTCTGTCACCCAGGCTGGAGTGCAGTGGTGCGATCTCGGCTCACTGCAACCTCCGCTCCTCCAGGTTTAAGCAGCTCTCTCCACAGCCTCCGGAGTAGCCGGGATTACAGGCGCGTGCCACCACTGCCGGCTTATTTTTTGTGTTTTTAGTAGAGATGGGGGGGTATCACCATCTTGGCCAGGCTGGTCTTGAACTCCTGACCTCGTGATCCACCTGCCTCAGCCTCCCAAAGTGCTGGGATTACGGGCGTGAGCCACCGCACCCGGCCTGCTTGATGGTTTTATCTTTGCAGTAGAATGCATTCATCCCAAGGTATACATCACAGTTGTATACTAATTTTCATCTTGCTGTCTAAGGTACTCTCCAGTACTCTCTTGGAGACATCCTCTCTAAGTCTTAAGGAAACTGAAATGTACACAAAGCAACTAGTACAGAGAACACTAGTTGATGGCAGTTCCAGAATGTGGTGATGGGCAAGTGATGTGTGGCCTGTAGGTGAGTGGAAACATTTTGGCTCTGATGGATGAGAAGGTTGTATCTGGGCCTTCTGTGTAGAGTAGACTGTCATTTTAAAATCAACCAAAAAATATTTTGCCGAACTGAGACTATAAAGTAGCAAGTGGTATGATCAGGTCTTGTGAATTTTCCATAGTTTCCTCCAAGAGCTGGATCCTCGTTTCTTCCAATTGCTTAGCAATGCTTAGAAAGACAGTGATATAATGAATTTTCTTTGATACTAAGCGCAAATTTGTTTATGCACAGTGTATAGGAAATGGAGGACAGACACTTACCTCGTATTGGCCGACATGCATCTATTATGAGCTCTGTAGGCAGTATCTCCCCATCCTGAGGTCAGTTCTATAAGGTAGGTACTATTTATGTCATATTTCAGATGAGAAAGACGCTAAATACTTTGAGTCCAGGTTGGCTATTCTTCCCACCCCATCAGTAGTACTCAGCATGGAAGCAAATTAAAGACATTCATTGCCTTCCTCCAGACGTTTCCTGCAGCTCAAGCTAGGATGCAATCCCGAGCTCATTCCCGGGGAACCCAGAGTATTAACAAACACCCTAAGTGGTAATGATATAGACGGGGAAACTGCATTGGAGCAGGTCAAGCAGCAGCCGACAGCCTTAACCTGTCAGCCGTGAGCGGAGGCGGTGCGAGGCGCGGGCTGGTCGGAGCCGCGCACCACGCCCCCCGGCCGGGGTGGAACGAGGACAGGTGCTGCCCTCCGGCGGCCGCGTCGGCGCAGTGCAACCCCGCGCCGCGGCTGCGCAGTGCCGCCCTCTGGCGGCTCCGCTCCTTCTTCCCATCGGCCTCGGCTTGCGGGCCTTTCAAACATGGAGGAGCGGGAGCGGGGGGCGAGGTCGGCTCGCGCCGCGAGTCCCGCGCGCCCGCCCAGCCCGCGGCTGGATGTCAGCTCTGACAGCTTCGACCCGCTGCTGGCCCTGTACGCGCCCCGCCTGCCTCCCATCCCCTACCCCAATGCCCCTTGCTTCAACAACGTGGCGGAGTACGAGAGCTTCCTCAGGACCGGGGTCCGGGGCGGCGGGCGCGGGCGCGGGCGGGCTCGGGGCGCGGCCGCGGGCTCGGGGGTTCCCTCCGCGCCCGGGCCCTCAGGCAGGACTCGCCGCCGCCCGGACGCGCCCGCCCCGGACCCCGAGCGCATCCAGCGTCTCCGCCGTCTCATGGTGGCCAAAGAGGAAGGGGACGGAGCCGCAGGAGCGGGCCGGAGGGGTCCCGGTCGAAGCAGGAAGGCGCCACGCAACGTGCTCACGCGAATGCCCTGTGAGTCCGCGGGCCGGGCGGGAAGCGGGGCCGCCGCCGTCCGGAAGCTGGCGGCCGAGGGGGCGTCTGCGGGGCGGCGGTGGCCGGGCGCGGGTCTGCACGGATTGTGGGAGCGCCTTGGTGGAGATTTGCGGGGATCATCAGCGACTGTGGGGTGGAACTGCTTGAGTAATGTGGGTAATGACGGCGTGGGGAGGGTCCCTCTGAGTAAGAAAAGGGGCTGTAGGAGCAACAGAGGGAGAGTGGTGAGGCTGTAGTGGTGATAAGAAGCCGTGGGAAAGGTCTGTAGAGGTAATCGGGGCCCATGGAAGGGTCAGAGGTGATGAGCCTGCGGAGAGGGTCTACAGGATTGATGGAGGACCTGGAGAGGTGGCGGGGGCTACAGAGTTTGGGGGACATCAGAGGGACGTCTGCAGAAGTGATGAGAGGTCTTAGAGACCACAGTGAGAGGTAAGGTGGGGCGGAAAAGGAGACGTGAGGGGAGAGCACAGCCAATATTAGGGGAAGGAGAGTATTTGGTCAGTGGGATTTGAGGAGGATCGGATGGAGTGTGGGGAGGTCTGTTAAGATAGCACAGGCGCATAATCCCATAACCCCTGTACATTGACAGCTCCTTCTTGAGTGCGATAAGGGCTGCAGGGTCTTGATACACATATGTTCACATTACTAAGTCACAAGTGCTGAAATGCAGCAGGCACAGAATGCCACTAAAACACAGACGCTGTTTTACAGCCACTCTGCCTGGCTGGATGCAGGACTGTGTCTCTCAGGCTCATATTACCATATGTGCAGA